TTTAAAAATCAATTATCATTTTTCAAAACTGATTTTAATAAAAACAGAAATTATACTGTTTATTTAAAATATTTTGAACCAAGCTTAACTTAGCTTCTGCGCCCGAAAAAAATGTAATTTGAAAATAAAACAAAATAATAAACTTGACGATTGACGAAAAGGCACATTCATGACGTTTAGATAACTTACGGGGGAGAATTCTTTCACGGATGGAAGGAAGTGAAATTATTTAAGTGAACAAATTATTTACCTTGTTACTTTTAAGGAAAACTTTCAAGCGCTCTAATTTTAATTTTTTTTTTTTAATTTTTTTTATACTTAGCTTTCATTTTTACGTTTACGATGCTTTATGGAAAATATAAAGAAATTAAAAATAAGACTGTTAATAGTGAGATTAAATTTCATAAGAAAAAGGTATCTAATTAATTTAGGTACCTTTCTTATGAAATTTTATCAGAAAAGTGTACATAAAATACTATAATTTTATGTACATTTATTACATTTTACTGTGTTATTTGTATTTCCATTCATTTTATTATTAATTTTGATATTTCATTTATGGAAAAATGTCATAACTGAGATTAATATAAAAATAAGATCATATAAATTAAAGTTTAGCAGTAGTTAAATTTCATAAGATGATACTGTTACTTGTAGGTACCCTTCTCAGTTGAAATTGAAAACTCAAATTAACTTCTCCATAAGTGTTTTCCGAAAAGTAAAGGGCTTAACAGCGGAGAACAATGCTGAACTCAAATAATGCAACTAAATTGTATTCTGGTTGGTCTTCCATACTTGATAATTACTGTCCGACTATAAACACAAAAATTACATTTCTTAATTACCATGGCTAATCTGATTGGTCCAAATTATACAATTTTCAAAGCGCTAGACAATGACAATCTCACACGGACATTTTGAAAGGTTGATGTTGCTTTTTAACTAATGTTAAAATATTTTTTAAAATTCAATTTAAACATTTTTTTAAAAATATTTTAAAATTAAAGAAATAAGAAATAATTGTATTAAAATTCAATTTTCATTGAAAAAATTTTTTGCTTTCAGAAAATATTGTCCATATTCATAAAAACAAATTAAAACAAATAAAAGCATTTGAAACTAAATAATATATTTTTTTTTATTGAGTTTTGTATGTTACAATTCACAGCTGATTTTCAGGTACGTTGGCCAAAAAAAAAAAAAAAAACATGATTTGCATTCTTCAAAGCCTTGTGCTTTTAACTATTGTAATCACTAAAACCCATGGTCTCAATTTCTAGAGTTTTCATAAAATTAGTTATGGGGGTGTTAATAAATATAAAAAAAATATTTCTGCCATGACTTTAATAAAAAAAAAATATTAATAATAATTTTGATCATCTGTGAATAGTTTCTGAAAGTTTCATTAACATCTGACAATTATTTTTATTTTTGCAAAATTTTTGTTATTTACTACCCCTTCTTGCGACAAAGAGAAACAAGGTTTTTTAAATCAAAATTTAGAATATTCTAAAAAGATGGAAAAATTTTTAAAAAATAATTAAAAAAAAATTTAGTCTATCCTCTTCATGAAAACATAAGCATTTTGACGATAAAATTTTGTTTTCATAAACTTTGGCGTCTTTTTCATCAGACTTACTTATGCTCTATGTTTTAGCGATTCCGTGGAGTGACTTAGGTTAAAAAAACCCAGGTTGTTTATGTGTGTGTGTGTGTGTGTGTGTGTTCCTTTATATATGGGATCGGATTTCTTACATTTTTCAGTCAATAAAACAAACATCCACTTTTTTTTTCGGCAGGTAGTATTTCTTATTGTCTTGCACACTTTTTTCTTTACTTACATTCAGAATGCTTTAAAAATTCCATTTACAAGACAATTGTTTATAATAAAATTCTATTCACCAACGATTGTAAACAATGTTTTTGTTTGAATTTGGGTTTGACCAATTCGTAAAAAAAAAAAAAAAACTAATTAAGACATGCGTCCGTCAACCTTAAACAATAATCTTTGTCAATTTTATTTTTCAGTCTTTATGATGGTCGATACTTGATCTATCTCTTACTGTTACATCCCCGGGCAACGCCGGGTTCTACTGCTAGTCCTTATTAAAATTGTCATAGTTTATCTTTGAAATAGAGGCAAAAATAAATTTTGATAAAAATGAGAGATTATTTCAAATGCATTTTTATAAGTTTTTTTTTTTAGCTCAAATTTTGGCGGTATGTATTTAATTTTTTTAATTAAATTTTAAACTAAAATGGGATCGTCATTTAACGGTTCTAAAATGAGACTCAATTGAAAAGTTATTTAAAATTAGTGATAAAAAACTGGACTGTGTCCGGAACTCTAATTTTGTGACCGCTGACGTAAGTATGGCTGCGAAATTGTTGCTTGTCACTTAGCAACCTTCACAAACATATACAAGCTAAAAATGTAAATAATATTCTATGCGAAATTTTGGTTAGTTTACTTTACTTAGAATCATGGCTTCGGTAAACGAAGAGTGAGTGAAGCCGAAAGCTATTCAAAACCTGATTTTGTTTTTTCAGTGTCTCATGTCTGTTAAATTGCGATTGCCACTTTTCCTCTTTCAGAAACAGTTTCTTGTCAAAGACCTCAAATCAAGGAAAATTAAATGCCATTTTTGTATGAATGGCTAAAAAGGATACTTGCTAGAGACGTTTTACACTCTTCAAGAAATTCTCCATACAACGCCAAGCAATGAAATGGGTGAATATCTGTCATGATGTAGTAGTAAATTAAAACTAAAAAAAGCTACTGCCCTGAAACAAGTTTGGAATGAGAGAACAGGAAACAGTAGAAAGTGTAGATCCCAGGGAAGAAGTTAAAATCTACGAAAGCACGTTTAAAAATAAATAACATTCATTAACAGTGTTTGGTTGCATTATTTTAAAAAGCTGTTTCTTTTCCTTGTTTTAAGTTGTTCACATTGATTTTTAGCTTTGGAACCAAAAAATGTTTGTAACTCTCTAGAGCGAATTATCTATTCTGTATGAAGAACAGACTTCATAAATTTCTGTTAAACATCCACCAGAATGTAATAAAAACTAAAAAAACGGTGCGATCTTTAAATCGAAATAAATATCAATTCTATTCCAATTGGATGGATTTTTTTTATTCTTTTACGGTTTATTTAGTGTTTTCATATTTCTCTTTATTGCAATTGAATTTTGGTTTGCCTTTTATGCTAAAACACAAATCCAGGATCCAGTTTTTACACAAATTTGAACATAGGCTATGATATTGAACCCCAATTTAGAACCATTCTACTTAAATTTTCTAAAAACAAAATTAGATTCCGGAAAAGTTACATTCAAATAACTCAAACTTAAAAACCATGAGAATAAAATGCATTTTCATACAGAAGCCTAATTTAATTAACCGAAATCAAAGCAAAGAATGTTGATTTTAAAATTGTAATGTATATTATTCGCATTTAAGTTTGTGTTTTTTCATTTCTTTTTACATGGCGACTAATGCAGACGATTTTTTTTTTTAAAAATCTTTAATAAACTTTAAAAAAGGTTTACTTACAGTTTTTACTTTAATTAATTTTGATAAAACCCCTAGTTTTTAGTTTGCCGCCATATTACGAAGCCTCTGTTTTATAATTTTTCTCAGATACAATTAAATTTCATTACGAAATTTTTTAAAAGTAACTTTTTTTTTGTTTTATTAGAAAAGAAAACTCATAAATTATCCCAATATAAAGTCGATCAATAACAGATCATTTACATTTTACTTTTAAATGCTGAAACAGTAGACAAAAAGTTTGAAACTTACGCCTGATACTTTTTTTCAAACAAGAAATTTTATATAAATTTTTTTTATCGTTGTCTGATAAAAAAGTAAATATTTTTGTTTTTGAGGATGTTGTACATTCTTGTATTAATGCAAATTGAAAGTTTATGTGCTATCTTACGATGTGTCAAACAACAATAGAATTTTAATAGTAATTTTAAAGTTTGTTATTGAAATGATATTTTTTTTCTCAAATGTGGTCTTTCTAAAATGAAGATTTGAAATTCACTTGAAGAAAAAGAGGTTGGGTCATGGGATCTTTTGTTTTGATTAAAATAAAAAATTTAAAATAAACAATACAAAATCTGAGATTTACTGTAAATCTCAGATTTTGTATTATTTTAAATTTTAAGGTCTCATAACAAATTCTGTAAATCATTTACAGAATCTGTTATATGAGACTTTTTTTTTACTTTTTAAACTTACGAAAGAATTTTTAAAAGGATGTTTCGCTATGATACAATCTCATTTATTTATTTATTATTTTAAAGCTAAAAAAAAAAACTACTGACAAAGCCGAAAAAAAAAAACCCAGTAGTCACACACAGTTACAATACAATGAACTAAGTACTTTATGGGATCTGTAACAAATGTTTATAAAGTTTGTCTTTTCTGTTTCAAAATGTGGTTTGACGTTCCGGGAATCCGGAACGAAGTAGTAGGCAATAATTCTGCCTGAGTTTTATTTTATCATTTAAGCAGGCTCATGAGTGAAACTGTGAAAGATGAATTTTCATGTCCATTGAAGATACACCCATGTTCTAATCAAGAAAAAAGTTAACAAGTTGAAGTCGGGAACATGTGAATTAATTTAGATCATTATTTTTTTGTTATATAGTGTTTAGTGTTTTGTTTAATTTTTTCACCGTGTTTAACATCAGCAGTTAGTTACTTTTAATTTTTTGTCTCCTTATTCTTTTTCGGTCGTGTAAAATGTTTTGAGTTAAAACTTTTAACTGATATAAAAGCTGACAATTTTTTAAAAAAAAGAACAGGGATAAAAATTAAACCAACAAGTAACTGTTTTCTTTTCTAGGTCGTTCAGATCATAACATGCTTCAGCAGCTTCACTTTTCTCTCGAGAGTTTCATTATGTTTACTTTTTTTGTTGATAAACAAAAAAGAATACGAAATTGTAACAAATCTTTCACCGTTCAACAAAAATAAGAGCACTTACCTAACAGGCGTAATTTATACATTGCTTACTTTCCTTATATTTTTTTAATAATTTTTTTGTTTGTTGTATCTTTACTTTCCAGAAACGCAATTGTTAAAATGTTACTTTACTTTGTGGGTAGAGGGTGAAGAGACAACAGATACGCACCAACTTCCGGTTTTCAAGCTGATCACACACTGTTAATTTTAACGAATTAATAAGTAGGGTCAAAATGACCCTTAATTTATATAAAAAAATAAAAGTATTTGGATTTGCTAAAGTGAAAATTTACTATTGATTTTACACAAATAAAGTAAGTAACGTGGTCGTCGTAGTTGTTAACTTTGTGTTGTCAGGTTAATTATCAGCGTGTGTGACTGTGACAAAAAAACCAAACAGAAACTAAACAAGAGTTATTACTGTGCTGTAGCTAAAAGTTAGAATCAATCAATAATACATTAGAAAATAAAATTGCATCATTCCGAATATTTACTCAATTAAATGTACATAGATGGATGGATTACACTTAAAGTAAAAAAAAATATCATCGCATACAAATTTTTGTGGACAGACACACAGGTTCCAAAACAAGAGGAACGAATAACTATAACAATATTTATCCTTGGATGTTAAACACAGGCCTCTAATATATGCATCGGCGCTCCACAAGGGCTAGGTCTGTGCGTCGTGGGTGAATACACTCTGGCAAATGTTGTTCCCAATCTCTACGTTACACGTGCAAAGGTAGGCAGAGCCAGCTGTTATCAGTGAACTGTGAACTGAACACTATTGTTGAGCACCTTTCAACACGTATACAACGTTGTTGTGACGTAAGTAGATGTTTGGCTAGTGGCAAAAATGCTAGTCGTCTTGTAAGTGTAACTGCAAAAGATTCACAACAATCCGTGTTGACATTCTTGAGGAGTGAGTTCGATTCTCACTGAGTGCTCCATACTTTCGGCCTTATGTTTAAGCTCGGCTTAATAAATTGCTATTCTTGGGGCCTCATTTGTTCTGCTGCTCTGTGTCATGGACGTCGTGTTGTCTGTAACTGCTGCACTTACAATGCCTCAGTCTTGGCGGATGTACATTGTTTCTTTAAACAAGAATTCTACTAACTATAATAAAAAATATATTTTGCTTGCACTAATAATTCAATCAACGGTGGTCTCTTAACTCATAAGTTTATGATAATCATCATCACACACATGCATACATACATACACAAATTCAAATTATACAACAACAAGCATTCATTGGATAATAAATCAACACTACTGTGTAATGCACAATTTATAAATCGCAGCTAAGTTCTTTACTGTTTCGGAAATGTTCAATGTCTAAAAATTGTCTGCTTTTGATTAAAAAGGTTGAATTTTTAACTTAGACAAAAGATTTTTCTATGAAAGATATTGAGTGAAAAAGTTTGTTGTGCAAATTTTTCTAATCTCTCATAAAGGAAGTTTGTTTCTCTGGCGGCACATAATTCCCGTGTGTATCTTTCGCGTGTGCGAATCTCGAATCCGACGAAAATTCGTTTACTATTTCTAACAACGAAATCGGTTCCAACGGGGCTTGGTAGCTGTTGCGAATTTTTCTGAGAAATGCGTGGGTGAATGTTGTATTTTTTATTTTTTAGCCAATAGAATTTCTTGAAACATTTAAATTAGGGATGAATTTGAGAAAGATTTTTTTTATGTCGGTTGAGCCTATTTTTGCACAAATTTTGACTGTTTCGTTATGGAAATTTCTCGAAGCTTATTTTTATTTAATGACCAATGAAAAAATGTTTGAAATTGAAATGAGGGTTACTAAAACATGACCACACGATTTATATTTAACGTAAAATATCACAAAATATGAAACAACAAGAAGGAATAAAAACGGTTTTATAACATCAACATTTATATTTATTTTTGTGTGTACATGCGTAGAGGTTTTGGTGTTATGTCCCTTTGACTGAATTAATGAGATTGAAATATTTTTATCTGAGCTCACAGAACTTGAATGAATTATAAAGCTGGCTGAGAAATGCTGAATAAACTGGAGCTTTAGAAAAGTATTTCAAAGAGAAAAGTTCTTGATGCTTGCTTGGAAATGGTTCGTATGTTTGTAATGTAGTTTGGAAAATTTCGTATGTACGTGCATGCGTGAATATGCTTTTAACGTCTGACCGCTCATGGTCGAGACGAGAATCCTTCAAAGTTACCTCTTCTTAGGCGAATGAAGAAATGAGAGAGAGAGCAAGCTCGTGTCTGCTATTTATAATTAATGTAATCACGTAACAGGATCACGGAAAATTGGCAGGAAAACTTGACTTGATCACGTGCTGGAAAAATATTTGTACGTAGGTAAATTGCAATGCCCACTTGTGTGCATTGACCAATTAGAAGTTGATATGTAGTGTGCGGGGGGGGGGGTGAAGATGAAAAGAAAACACGTGCGTTTAAATTTCTTGGTAGAAGAAGGTCCAGCTACAAGAGAAATGGCAGACTCTAGTTGTGTCCAACCGAAGATGAAAGAAGACAAAAAAGACCGATATATATATAAACAAATATATGTATTAACAAAAAATTACAAAGCACATAGTTAACATTGTGTGTGATCATTTGTGTTTGTTCTTTGGTGAATGTTCGTATTTTGGTGAATGTTCGTGTATGTTTGTAATGTTCATAGCGTCTTCTCATAAATGGGAAACGCTATCTTTTGCGAGAGCTCACATAGTAGCAGTGTTCGCTGAAATGAAGAAAGACGAGAAAGAATTCCTTCCCTCCACGCGAGGTGGGATGCGGCATGAGGGAAAAATAATATTTATTCCTGTAGAAAAAACAGAAAATGTGGCACAAGGCCGAAATTGGGGAAGTGGGGAAGAGGTCGGTCTTCTGTCTTGGGTATTTCTCCAAGCCCGCTGTGCAAAGTCTCTTGGCGACACAGAGGGCTCCATGCACCAACAGCCAGGTGAGTGACGGCTCATTGTTATTGAGACATTTCAATCCGGGCGCCCAAGGCCATATTGAGCGAGCCTCCTGCTTCGTAAGACCGATCTCGTCAATCAGTTCACCACAAACTAACATCTGATATAATGCCTTACGAGACAACGCGTTCGAGAAACCATCCGACGCCTCTAAGAGGCGTTTCAGAGCACGACGACATTCACGGTAGAAGGAGCACTCGACTCGGGGTAAACGGTGGGCCTCCTCCTCGCACGAGTGCACACTTCTCAGGGATGGGAAGTTCTTACGGGCGTCTTCCTTCCAGAAGGCGCCCACCTCATCCGATTCACGACACATTCGATCCAGGAACCCGATGCGAAGCATATATTGACGAATCACGATGCTAGGCATACCTAGACCGCCTTCAGATGGATGAAGGCAACAGATCTCCCAAGAGACTCTGGCGGCCTTGCCACCCCACAAGAAGGAGAACAAGAACCTCACTAACGCCAGTAAAGTGTCATACGGAAGTGGAAGCACAGAGAGTCGGTAAAGAAGAATCGGGTAGATGTGTAAAACACATACTTCCGCCCTCCCCTTTAAGGAAAGATTCCTCCGAGACCACAAATTAATTGCGATCTTGGCCTTCCCTTACACCTCCGACCAATTCATTTCCAGGACCGAACCAGACGTCGAGAATCTTGACCGGCCCATCCGTCCAGAGGAAAAATCCGGGAAGAGAAACTCCCTTCCACGCACCCAACCGCAAGCCAACAGACTTATCGCGGTTGTTCTTGGCCCCTGTCACTATCTCATAACCACTTATTTCTTTGCTGACTTCGTCAATCTCGGCCCTGCTCGATACAAGAACCGAAACGTCATCAGCATAGGCGGAATACCTGGGCGAGGTGGTAGTACCAGGTAGGGAAATACCGCGAAGGACAGGATTCGTCTTTAACTTGAGAAAGGAAAGGTACCAACGCAAGAACGTAAAGCAAAGGCGAAAGCGGACAACCTTGACGAATGGAGCGAGACAATACGAAAGGCTCCGATCGTACTCAATTCACCTCCATCAGCGCACCGGGGGTCGCATACAGAAGTCGGATCCAGGTGCGAAAGTACGGCCCGAAACCGGCCGCCGAAAGGACAGCCTCAAGAAAGCGATGAATGATCACCAAATAATGAACAGTTTAATTTCCAGTAGCCAGCCAGCCTAACCTTAGTCTTATCTAACAAGCCTATGATCCGAATAAACTATATAATGGAAACTTGGACACTCTAAGAGCCCTACATCGACTCTCCTAAATAAGACTCAGTCGAGGTAGCTGGCAAGCGTCCCAGGAGCCGAGTTGCCACTATTTGTCCAAGTCCAAACTACCTCCCGAGGGTGCTCATTCCGGTACCTGTCGACAAGATCAAACCCGTCGAAAAAGTCCCGAAATGGTTTCACGTCCCGGTTATTAGTACCCATATTTGGCCCTATACGATCTAAATCAGGGTCAAGGACAGCATTCAAATCCCCCGCTAAAACTACCCGACGAGATGTCGTCAAGAACGGATCGATCTGCCGAAACAAAGCAGCCGTTCAGAATAGTTATTGGGCGCATAAACCCCAATGAGACGCAGAGCCTTATCCTTTATGGTAACATCCAGCATTCAAAGTCTGCACACGCAGTCTTCAAAGACTTGCTCACCAGCAAAGAGACACCCCTCGAGCGTCCATCAAAACATGCTGAATAGAGGGAAACACCCCTAGACATAATGCTTTCGTGATCGCGAGAAGAAAAACGGGTCTCTTGCACATAATATACATCCACCCCGAGACGCTGAAGGTCACGATAGAGCCTCGCCCTGCGAGACTCCGCCTTCAGGCCTCGGACATTCAAACTAGCTAACCAGAGTTACATTATCAAACCGATTCGAGTTGCTTACCTGAATTAAACATGGACGGGGTCAGGATACCGACAGCCTCTCCCATCGAGCCGTGGCCCATCTCAGTCTATCCCACGGGAAAGTCAACTTTAGTGCTCTATATAGGGAGGGGTGAACAAAAACAGGGACCCTTCCAGCACAAAATTGCTTCATTTTTTTTTAATCTATCGTGTTGCAC